TGCTAACCTGAGAGCATGGTATAGAAAAACCTTAACACAACTATTTCGTATAGCAACCAACAAAATCATCATAGCCAGAATGATTGCCAACGTTCGAAACGGACAGGCACCCTAAGAAGAAGAAGAATAGATTTCAAGCCAATAAACGAACGAATCTGCTATATAAGACTCAAGTGTAAATAGTCTAATCTCACAATATTCTCAATATATGCCTTAAAAGAAGATGCCAAAGAAGATAAAACGAATGAATTTTATGAATTGTCAGACCAACAGCATAAAGCTGCTCCAAAAAAATGACGTCAAAATAGTGATAGGAGATTGCAACGCTAAACTAGGTAAGAAAAGATATTTAAAAGAAATAATTGGTAAGCATAGCTTGCACGACATAACAAATGATAATGGACACCGGCTAACACAATTCGCAATATCTAATTACATAATCGTTAAATCCACCCAATTCGAAATAAAATACATTTACAAGGTCACATGGGCTTTAAATGATGGAAGAACAAGAAATCAAATAGATCATGTTCTCATTGACGCAAGACACTCTAGTAGCATTATTATTTCGCTAAGTGTGAGAGGAGCTGACAGCGATAGCGATCACTTTCTTTTGAAATATACGGAACAATAAGGAACATAAAAGCCCTACAAACACCAAATAAAAAACTGGATTATCAAGTGGCAATAAGCAACAAATTTCAATTGCTGGGAGAGAAAAAGTATAATGTAGAGTTAGAATAAGCATGACAGTAAGTGGCATCAGTGGCATCATAAGTGGCAATGTAGCATTAACACAGACAATGATGCCTATATATTCATCCGTTCATATAGTGAAAGGAACATAAATCGTTTTGTTCAAACCCTTGAGTCAACAAATTGGTCAGAGGTATTTAATACAATTTCTGTTGAGAATAAAATATCATTAGCTTTTTTAAATACTATCCAAAATTACTTTCGGTCCCATTTTCCACTACTTAAATGTAAACCTAAAAAATGTACAAGTTCGAATTGGTTTACGCAGGAACTGTACAATTTAAGGGATCAGCTAAAACTTTTAGAAACGATCTGTCAGCAAAATAGTAGTCTTAGGCCAGTCCTTCATTTGGCAAAGGCAGAATATTCAATTAAATTAAAAGCTGCTAAAAGTAGTCACTGCATGAGACAGTTAAACGAATCATCAAATAAAATTAAATGTATTATTTGGCGTTTAGTAAACTTAACAGTCGGGAAACAAAATAACTCAAAAGTACCTAGTGATGATAACAGTAATTTAGCAGACAAATTTAACCACCATTTTGTTGAAATGGCCCCAAAGTTACTTGCCGCTTTGGATCCTACTAAAATAGATGGGTTTATATCAGCATCAAAAAACCCTAATAGTTCTTTTATGTTTTTATATCCAACTAACCCACAGGAAGTAACTAGTATAGTCGGAAGTTTTAAATCCAAACACAGTTGTGGCTTTGATCACATTTCCCCTAAGTTCTTACAACAATACATTCATGCTCTCGCAGGTCCACTGACGGATATTTGTAATGCCTCTTTTCAAAAAGGAATATTTCCTAGTATGTTTAAACTATCTATTGTAATCCCTTTATTCAAAAGTGGTGATAAAGATGACCTTAACAACTATCATCCCATAAGTCTCTTATCTGTGTTTTCAAAGATAATTGAAACTCTAGTTTATATTAGAATGAACGCATTTCTGAAAAAGCATAGTGTCTTGGATAATTTTCAACATGGTTTTACATCTTCTAAGTCTACAACTACAGCTCTTGCAAATTTCGTCAGCTTAGTGTTGGATGCTTTGGACAGACGAGAAAAGGCATGTGGTTTATTTCTCGATTTGTCCAAGGCTTTTGACACTTTGGATCATAATTTGTTGCTAATAAAACTTGAGGGGATTGGTATTCGTGGTATAGTTCTAAAATGGATTACTTCCTACCTAGAGAATAGAAGACAAAAAGTAAAGATAACATCTAATGGACTTGTAAACGAATCACACACATTGGATATCCATTATGGTATCCCTCAGGGTAGTGTATTGGGTCCTCTACTTTTTATAGTATTTATTAATGATATAAATTTGGTAACTAATGCACTGACTGGGATTAACATTATCAGTTATGCGGATGATACCAACATTCTAGTCACAAGAACGTCTGATCAAAATTTGCAAAATAAAACTTCACAGATACTATCCACCATCAAAAGTTATTTCTTAACCAACAAATTAGTTTTGAATGAAGAGAAATTAAACTATATGATTTTCACGTCAAATAATTTATTAAACCATCAAGCCACTATAGAAGCAGCAATAGATAAAACAGACTGCACGAAGTTGCTGGGGGTACTTCTAGACAGTAATTGTAAATGATCTAACCACATTTCTAATTTGAAATCCAGATTAAGTAGCGCATGTTATGCATTAAGAATTCTTTCACGTTTCTTTCATACATCAATATTAAAAACAGTATACTTTGCCCATTTTTACTCAATAGCCAAATATGGCATTGAAGTCTGGGGTTGTACCTCTGAATTAGAGCAGATATTCGTACTTCAGAAAAGAGCTATTAGGATAATGTATCAAATGAAATTTAGAGATTCTTGTAGAGGCATCTTTAGACAAAACAATATTCTGACAATTCCTGATCTGTATATATTTTCGTGTATAATGTATTTGCATAGCAAAATTTCTGAATTTAATAAATTTCAATTTAACCGTGTTTATTTAACAAGATTCAGAGACAATCACTTTATGCTTTCACAACATCGTTCTGTTTTGTTGGAAGGTAGCACACATTATGCAGCCATAAGTTTCTTTAACAAATTACCAATAGATATACGAATGAATTTACATCAGCCAAACTTTCGGAGGTGTGTACATCAATACATTTGTGAGCTAGAGCCATATTCTAAAAATAATTTTCAAGTATGTTTTATCGTGTTTAATTAATTTATATAATTTTAAGATTTATGTCTGTATTTTTGACTTGTCTCATACATGTACTTTGTATAATGTCGCATGTTATCAATAAATTTGACTTAACTTGACTTGCATCAGTTATAGATCAAGCAGCCAAGGAAATCATTGGGAAAAGAGGACTTGCCAAAACGGAAATGGTTTGACAAAGCATGCGAGGAAATTCTGGAAATAAAAACGAAAAAAAGATTGAAAAATGTTATAAGACCCTACAGATAAGAATAAAGCAGATTTTAACAGAACAAGAGCACAAACAAGGCGACTATTCAGAACTAAAAAGAGGAGTTACCTAGAACAGCAAATCCGGGAAATGGATTAGTGACACATGGAAATGGTGACAAGAAAAATTAAATAAGGAAAGTCACAGCCTATAAGAAATGAAGCAGGTTAACTTATAATAATAAAAACGGATATCATCGAACGATGGAAGGAATACTTTCGAAATTTAATAAATATTATTAAAGTGAGACGGAGGAGGAATATATTACGTTTGTTTCTGCAGATATTTAAATACCAGCACCATCACTTAAGAAGGTAAAGAATGCGATCGCGTCTCTAAAAGAACATAAAGCACCAGAAAATGATAAGGGGGAAAAAGACTTACTTACATGGGTGAGCAACTGGATAAACAGGTTTCTAATTTAAGAACTTATTTTCAGGTACAAACTGAGACATCTACTTTACATCGAGCAATTTGCGTAGTAGAGAATACAACACCGCTTAAATTATGGAATCAAGAAATGCGCATAAACCGTCTGATTAAGCAAATAAAAATTCGCACCTGGATGGGTAAACCTCTGCATGGGCAACATCTCAATGAGATCAGCCAAGTTGACAATACAGCGTCGAACTATTGATTGATATCAGGAACGATGTTTCCCCAGACTGAAGGTTTCCTACTCGCCATTCAGGATCAGGTTATTCTAACTAAAAATTACCTGAAATATATTGTTAAAGATCCTCAAGTCCAAAATGACAAATGCCGATATGGATGCCAAGCGAAAGAAACTATCCAACATCTTACCGGTGGCTGCCAGGCGTTTGCCGTTATTGATTATAAAGAACGACGTGACTCAGTAGAAAAAATTATTCACCAAGAACTAGGTCATAAACTGGGACTTTTCCAAACCGACCATCTTCCTTATTATCAGTACGTCCCTGACATAATGCTTGAAAATGACAACTACAACCTTTATTGGGACCGCAATGTGCTTACAGACTAACCAGTGGCACATAATAGACGCGATGTCATACTAGTTTATAAAATTACTAGGCAAACAACACTGATGTGGCGCTACCCAATACCAATAATTTACGTGTTAAATACAACGAAAAGATCGCCAAGTACAGAGATCTAGAAATACAAATCAGGCGACATTGGAGAATGGAAAGTGCCTAGACAGTACCTATTATTCTATCTACTACTGGTGTTATTCCCAAAACCCTCTTAGGAAACATAAAACAGATGGAGTCTAAATGAACATCTCTGTAAGGCCATGCAGAAAGCTGTACTTCTCGTAACATCCAGATGTGTACGAAAATTTTTGGGAGATACTCCAACATACCAAGTCACCTAGGGCTCAATAACACTGAAAGAGTTTTACCAGAGCTCAATCCTTTTGATACCTTAGGCTAAATCTGGAATAATAATAATAAATGTCTTTATTAACAAACCAACTAATTTTCCTTTACAATAAAATATTATATCAGTAAGGCGAGATTCAGTTTGTATACCACTGTGTAACAGCGACATACAACTGCTCTTCCACCTAATTCCCTGAAGATAGGATATATAAACTATAGCTAAATAATAAAATTAATAATATTTATCACAATATGTGAAGTGGAACAATATTTAATATTTTAAGTTAGGAAATTGGTTCAACTGACAAAGGTAGGTATAATAATTAACTAAAATAAAATATATTAAGAATATATAAGTTGAAGTTTATTAGAAGGTAAATTGTAAATATTGAAATATTCATATAAACATCATAATGTACTCAAAATCATATTAATCTGTGTCTATTTTTTTGAAATTGCCATAATATCCTAAAATCTCATCATTTTTTAGCTTGTCTGGTCGCAGTGATTCGTCTACTTTCATAGTTTCTAGTAAATCAAATCTATTTTTATATTCAAAAATTTTTTGTTTCCATAGACCTAAAATAAAAACTACGATAAAAATCAAAATTGTAAAAAACATAAAATATGGTAATAGTCAAGTTAGAAGTATAAAGATTTCGAATAACTGGATTTTTAATATGTTACTTTTATAACTTCTTCTTTGTGTATGCTCTCTATCTTGTTATATCTATGTCTATCTCTATCTCTATTATGTCAAGCCATTGGCGTAACTTTGGCAGCTAAAGGGACTTCTTTCATCGGATGTCTCGTCTTCATTTGATCTTTCTTTCAATGAATAACTACAGAAAACTATAGTTATCGTTTCTAAAGATATAGACAAAAGTTATAATAAACGTATAGGGAGTTATCACCAACACATGACATGTAGCGCCATCTGCTGAACGTAGACTTACATTAGTTTCCTTTATTGCTTTTAATCTTGTGCTATGAAAATCCTGTTTGTTGTCCTCTCAAATTCTTAACCAACCGTAAGGTTCTTCTTCGTCCTGGACTGCGCTTGCCTGCTATTTTTCCTTGCATGATATTTTGTAGCAACCTATATTTGGGACCTCTCATTACATGTCCGAAATATTCCAGCTTTCTCTGATTGATACTTTTTATGATCTCAGTAGTCTTGCTGAGACGTTCTAGTATTACGGAGTTTCGAATCTTCTCCACCCAGAACACTTTTAAAATTCTTTTATAGCACCGCATTTCGAAAGGCTCAAGGCGATTTAGATCGATTTTATTCACAGTCCAGGACTCGACACCATAAAGTAAGACCTAGAGTACGCAGCAGCGAAGTAGGCGGATCCTCAATGCCAATTTTAGGTCTCTGTTACATAACACCTTGGACATCCATCTAAAAGCAGCTCTAGCCTGCTTTATCCTAGATCTAATTTCGCCGTGACTTTCTGCATTACAGTTTAGTTGCTGTCCAAGGTAAACGATTTTATCAACTTGCTCAAGTTTGGTATTATTTACATATATAGACGGTTTAATATGCTGCTGTTTACTTATTAGGAGTATTTTGTTTTTCCGTATGTTAAGATCCAGACCTGCCTCCCTACAACTTTTAACGACACTATCAAGTATTGTTTGCAGATCTTCTTGACTAGAAGCTAGGAGTACTGTATCGTCCGCATATCGCAAATTATTGATGACTTCGCCGTTCACAACTATTCCTTCTTGTTTTTTAGAAAGTGCTTTTCTAAAAATTCTTTCGAAGTAAATGTTAACAAGCAGGGGTGACAAGAAAAATCTCTACCGTTTTCCTCTTTTAATACTGGGAGCCTGTGATTCCACATAATCTACTAAAACTGATGTTGTTTGATTCCAATATAAATTTGCAATTTGTCAAACATCTCTGCCGTCCAAGCCAATGTCTTTTAGAGCTTCGATCAATATAGAGTACTTAACACGATCAAATGCCTTTTGGAAGTCAATAAAACAACATTATATATGTCTACAGATATATCACGACATCTTTGAGCAAGTACGTTCATTCTAAACAGTGCCTCTCTCATTCCAAACCCGTTACGCAAACCAAACTCAGTGGCATCCAGGTATTCCTCGCATTTAGTGTAGATACGACCATGTATTACCTTCATAAAAAATTTCTGAAAAAAAAGTGGTTTAACAAATTGATGGTTCTATAATCAGCACAGGTTTTTGCTGTTTTCTTCTTAGGTAGAGCTATAAACAGTGTATTAGACCAACCATTAGGCAGTTGTCCGCTGGTATAAATGGTATTGAAAAACGAAGTTATAGCCTCTAATACATTGCTATCATTTATCTTTTTCTTTTTCTTAGCCTTCCCATGTTTGGACATAGGCCTCTCCCAACTCCTTCCATCGGTCTCTATTCTGAGCAACATATTTCCAATTTGTTCCGGCTATTCTTTTCATGTCATCAACCCATCTCATCTGTGTTCTTCCTCTTGTTCGTTTACTTTCGTAAGGTTTCCAATGTTGTATTGTAGTATTCCAACGTTGGTATTTTTGTCTAGCAGTGTGGCTTGCGAAGATCCATTTAAATTTGTCAATTTTTGTTGTTATGTTCTCGACTTTTGTTTTGGATATTACCCAGTCGTTTCTCTTTTTATCTGATAGTCGTATACCTAGCATTGCTTTTTCCATTGTTCTTTCTGTTGTGGCTAGTGTATTCATGTTTGCCTTGGTTAGAGTTCAGGTGTGACAACCATATGTCATCATAGGAAGGATGCATTAGTTGAATACTTTGCTCCTCAAGTATTGGGGTATTTTGCGGTTCTTAAGTATCCAACTAAGTTTTCTAAATCCTGCCCATGCTAGTCTTGCTCTTCTAGTAATTTCCGCACTTTGGTTCTCTGTGTCAAGTCTCAGGATTTGTCCTAGGTAGATATATTTCTAGATTTGTTCTATCTCACTGCCGTTTATAGTTATATGTCTGGGGTCATCTGGGTTTTTCATTATTTTTGTTTTTTTTATATTCATTTTTAGGCCGACGTATTGGGAGCTGGCTGTTAGTTTCCCCAACATAATTTGCAGTTCCTCGAATGTGTTTGCTATAATCACTATGTCGTCAGCTATCATTTATAAGCTTATATATTTCAGTTGAAATTCCATCAGGATCAGTCGCTCTGCCATCTTTTGATGAATATATGATATTAGATAACGTAACATTAATACACTTAAGTATCAGATAACGTAACATTAATACCATGTTTCTTCTTTATATTGTTGTTGAACAATTTGAGCCCTTGTTTCTTAAGGATGGCTGTCAGATTAAACATACATTGACCTTGAGCAATGACTTGAGTGAATTTACAAACTAATGTCATTCTGTATGATGTGATGAACACATAAAATTTAATTTAAACACTTAATTTTTAGAAAGTCTTTGATGACTATTAGTAATTCCAAACTACTAAATAATTTTGTAAGAATTTAAAAAAACAATCTCTATTTCCTATATATGACATTTGTCACCTGTCACTTTTGAAAAATCGTTTAAAAGGACCGACATTTGATTTCATTAGTTCTATTCAGTCTACGTCCTCACATCAATCAATGGTCGGGTTCTTAAACCCGTACCATGACAAAAATGTTTTCAATTTTTTATCGTGTTTGTGAAGTCCAGTGTCGGCTTTTTATATGTTTTTTTATATGTTTTAAGAATTTCAACGCCTACAAAATCATAATTTTGAAATTTAAGGAAATGAGATCTCTCCTTTGTAGTGGTATTTAAAAAATTGACGTAAGTTAAAAATTACAATCTTTACCAATTAGTACTTATAAGAACATTTTATTGTAGCATAGCTCTGATGATGGCTTTGTAAAGCCGAAAGCGCTCAGCTAGGAATTGCCTAAAATATACACACTTCAAAAATACTTTTTTGCATTTTCTTTCGATTTTATTTAAGCCCTCATCGACGTTTTCACCAATATTTTTCCAAATTAAATTTTCGTCGAGTTGTCTTTGAACTGATTCCTTAACTTTTTGGTCTTGTAATTGGGCTGTCTCAATATTTTTGCGAGACTTCTTTTTGACCATCTTTTTTAATTTTAACTGGGTTACAGTTACCATGGGATTGTGATCGGATCCAATGTCAGCACCTGGATAAGTTTTAACTAATTTGATGTAGTTTCTAAATCAATTTTACTTAGAATAAAGTCGATTTGGATCCTAATAATTTTGTCCTCTGATTCTGTATTTGACTTCCAGGTTTAGAGTCTGCTCGGTGGTAATTTAAAGTGGGTATTCGATATAATGAAATCGTGTTCTTGACAGAACTCCACGATCGTTTCTGTTTCCCAGGCCATAATCCCCACAATGTTCAAACAGCGTACTTTGCCGACTTTAGCGTTAAAATCTCCGAGGACTATGGTATTTTTGGCTGCTTTGATAAGATCTAGAGCATCAGTAAGATCTTTGTAGAATGCTTCTAATTTATCTTTATCACTGGATGATGTTTGGGCATAGATCTAAATTACGTTGGTAATGAACTGCTTGAACTAAATTTTACTAGCATTACTCTATCAGATATGAAGATATAGGTAATACTTAGTAGTAGCCAAACACGAGCTAAGTGTTTTGCTACTACGATTGCAACTCCATTATAGTGATTGGCATCGGTATTTCCGCCATGGTATACTTGATAGTCATCTACGTCACATACTCCTGATCCCGGCTATCGCATTTCACTTATTCCGGGGCTGCTGATTTACATTCTTCTTATTTCTTTTATGACAATATATATTTTACCTGACTCAAACATGCTTCTGACGTTCCATGTGGATAATTTGCAAGGATTTCGCGAATTAACGACCTGAGAGGCCCTGCAGTCTTGAGATTGTCCTCTCTTGCCGGGTTCCGAGATCCATGATCAACAACATTTTGACTTAAATTATTTACAGCCATGATAGTTAAAACTGGGAGTGCCAAAAGGCCTTTAATACAGTAGTTCTCCTTTGCTTTCTGCATCCTTATGCCGTTGACTAATTTGTAGTTTTATAGTACTTCCGCCTTCGGAATCAATTTCTCAATTCTATAATAAAAGAGTGGCCTACCACTTAATAACTTGTCTGCTCGAAGCCTTTGGTCAGTAATTGGGGATTACTTATACGGGCAACGGCAATCGCTCGGACGCCAGAGCTTCGTTTATTGTAAAGCAGGATGCACCGGATGATCAGAATCAAGATCATCTAACGGGTAGGTGAGGTTGACATTTTGACAGGAGAGAGTATACTTATATTGCGCCTCACAGTCCCTTACATCCCAAAAAATATAAATATATATATATATATATATATATATATATATATATATATATATATATATATATATTATTTTATTTAAAAGCATCAACCGTTTTAATAAATATTTTAGTATTATTTTTCTGTTAATCTTGTAGACACACTATTAATTGTCAAGACGAATTTAAGGCGGAACGAAGTTTTCCAGGTCAGCTAGTTATTATACAAAAAAGAAAGGTAGGATCGCTATAAAAGTTGTAATGAAAAATTGATTCCCGAAATACTGAAAGGTTAAACAACTCTGCTTTACATTGTTGTTTGCTTTTGTTGTCTAACCAATAACTAATATTTATGTAATATCCTTCTATATATGTAATTCTTTTATTTAATTATTTATAACTTACTCTGCAGCTCTTTAATAGATTTTTGTTGGCCACCATAGTCACAAGGAAGAAGTTCCACAGGTACATGCTTTTTTATTTCATCCAATGTTTGATAACTGTGGACCTAAAATATTTATATATGATTACAATATTTGTCTATAGAAGAAAACACTCACAAACTTATAACTTAAAATTATTTTATATTTGTCATTAACTCCTTCGGTGGGCGAGCTATCGGCCCTGTGTGCCGCTTTTATACAAACTTCAAGATTTTGTAAAGCATTATTAGTTACATACGCTTCTCCGTCCTGCTATTCTCAAATGACTATATTAGGCTAGTTACGACATATAAATGAAGATCAAAAAGTAGAACCCATAACAACAAAGGAACGAGAGAAGGTAACTAATTGAATTAGTTAAATTAGGCAAAGTACCAAACAAGGATCATATCACCCCGGAAATGATAAAATTCATGGGAATAGAATGAGTGGACAGCATGAAAGAACTAATAAACGATATCATAAAGATAGCAGAAATACCACAGTACTGGAAGAAAGACATTATACTACTAACTCACAAAAAGGACGACAAGAGAAACTTTAATAATTACCGAGGTATTACTATATCAAGTATTCCTAGGAAGGTATTCGCAAGAATAATAGAAACAAGAATAAAAACACAAAAAGAACAAACTATGGAAGATACACAATGTGGATTCAGGAAGGATAAAAGCACGCAAGACCACATATTCACAAGTAAGTGAGAAAGTAATCAATAAAAACACAGAAATACATATATGCTTTATTGATCTGGAAAAGGCGTTTGGCAGCATAAAAAGAAAGGACGTATGGAGAACATTAAAATAAAGAGGAGTTGACAGGATAACAAGTGATGTAATAAAGGATATGTACAATAATAATACAAATACGATGAGAGCAATAACGAGAAATCCTAAGAATTTACTACAAGTCAAGGCGTCAAACAGGGATATGTGTTAAGCCCACTGCTGTTCTCAGAGGTACTGGATGAAGCAATAAAAAAAGCCAAAAGAAGAATGAGAAAACTAACATTAGGATACTGACAGACTCAACTATCAGAGCTTCTGTTTGCAGACGACATGGTTTTGATAGCAGAAAACAGAGAAGACCTACAAAACAACTTTGAAATCCTAGAAGAAGAACTGTCAAACATAAATATGAAGATAAATACAGAGAAAACAAAAACAATGATAATTTCAAATAAAAGAAAGACACACAATACAATTAAACGGAAAACAACTAGAACAATTGGAACATTTTAAATACCTAGGAGTAATAATTGAATAAAACGGTTAACAAGACATGGATAAATAAAAGAATGGGACGAACAGGAAGCTTATTTAACACTATGAAAACAACATTTTTGGGGAAAAAAGAAATATCGGAAAGGGTAAAAACGAAAGTCGTTAAATCAGTAGTTAGACCTACATGTATGTATAATAGCGAGTTATGCACATTGGGAGACAAAAATCTCGAGTCAATGCTATGGAAAAGAGGTTCCTGAGGAAAATATCAAACAAAGAAAGGACAGTCAAAATAAGAAACGAAACAATCAGACAAAACCTAAAACTAGAACCAATAAACGAAAAACTAGTAGATGGGCAATTAAGATGGTTCGGGCGCGTGTGTAGAATGTCGAATGAAAGATTAACAAAACGAGTGTTTGAAACAAGAGTGCAAGGGAAAAACAAACGAGGAAAACCAAGAGTTAGGTGGGTAGACGAAATCAGAAAAGAAGTTGAGAAGAAAGGATTGACATGGGAAAGTGCACGAAATCAAGACCGAAAATTATGGAGTCAACAGTGCAAAACTTAACTTCACCAGCCTTACACCTAAGGGTAAAAAGGCTTAGTAAAAGTAAGTAAGTTACGACGCACATACCGCGGCGGTATTAGATTTATATAGGTGTCAGTGAGCCGTTGAAGTAAAAAATGCCTTCTTCATGTGCCTTGTCCGGTCCGAACGTTGGCAATCAACATGGCTATTCTGACTTTGTTTACGGCAGATCTGAATAGTCCAGCAGATGACAATCCGAACCATTTCCGCAAGTTTTGGAGCCACGAGTGTCTTCTACTCCCTGGACACCTTCTGCTGTCTATTTTCTCTTGAACGATCAGTTGTAGTACTCTATATTTATTATGTCTTATAACGTGATCCAAGTATTCCAACTTTCTTTTCTTTATACAAATTCCTACCTCTCTCTCTTTACCTATCCGGCGTAGTACCTCTTCGTTGGTCACGTTCTCAGTCCAGGATATACGTAATATACGTCGGTAAGCCCACATTTCGAAGGTCTCTTCTTTTTTCATCAATGTTGCGGTCATTGTCCACGCCTCCATTCCATATAACAAAACCGTGAATACATAACATTTCAGAAGTCGAATTTGGAGAGGTAGGGTGAGGCTTTTAGAGGTGAAAATTTGCTTTATGCTAGTAAACGATGCTCTTGCCTTTTCTACTCTTATACGTATTTTCTTCGCTTGATCCCAATTTGAGTTAACTGTTGTTCCCAAGTAGATGTACGAGTCCACGTGTTCAATTCTTTCCAATGCCTACTTGTTTTTAAAATAATAGAACAACTTCTAATGAAATAAAAGATTGGGTGAAAGAGGCCATGCATTTGGGTGTCTAAGTGCACACTATCCTCCATCCTATGGCATGCAGGACGAGCTATACAGTCTGTAGTCAACACCTCGAGGTATGAGCGGGAATACAAAGTGTATTAATATTCATACTCTTATGAAACGCATTTGGCGCATCGTAACGGTCTTCACATTTTATTATTTTTTTTTAACTTGTCTTAAGTAAAATGTATGTAATCTTTCCTATCAGCCTCTCTTGGCTAACTCTGGTCTCCTTCGACCCCGAACGGCTATTAGGTTTCCGAATGCAGACAGGTTACTATATTTCTTTCTCCTACATTCTCATTCACCGAGTGATTGCCGGTAAAAGCAGTCCCTCACTAACTGACCAACGGTTCGGGCGGATGAGTTAGTAAGTGATAGTACACTTTTTTGTCCTGGGGTTATGAAATTGACTCCAAAGCTGGATAAATCTATTAGTGGTCAATGGCATAAGGATTTAGAAGGTAACGGGAAACCACTACATTAAGGCTGTTTTATCGGTACACCAAAACCTAGATACAGTGTTTTCTCTGTTATTTTCCGACAAAATATCTCGAAATTTGGACACGTTATTCAAAATTATGTTGCCTTTAAACTGATGGTTTTACTTTTTTAATTTTTTTGAAAGTTGTTTTGAAATATCGGATTATACAGTTTAACGTTCTATTATAACCAAACCTTTTTCGCCCATCACTTGAAAGAGTTTTTTTTTTCTGTAATCGTTTGTTTTTTTTTTACCGTTTTATGTCCAGTAATAATCGAGAAAAGCGTGTTCAAACTTTTAAGAAAATTGCTAAAAAATACTGAAATCTATTAGTGAAACGTGTTACTCATCATTGGTATTTAGTTTCACCGTTATCGGCTGCGTGACATCAAATCTCATGAACGTACGCAGTTAGTTTGATTTTAAATCAATTTCAAGCTATAACTGCGAAATTGTTTATTTATTTGTGACAACAAATTGTATTTTTTTTGATAATAATATTTTTATGTTATTTTAAATTTATTATAAATAAACACCATGATGTTTTTTGTAGTCACGTTACACAAATTTATACTCAATACTATATTTAGCTAAGACATATAAATTAAAAATGTGATAATTATTTTTAAAACATCTAAGATAATCAAACAAAAAAGGTATTCCCGACAAAAGTAATTTGAATGGAGAATAATGCATTTGTTGTCATTAAACCACCCGCCGGCCGGCGCCACTGCGAAAACAGCTGTACCCGTCGTCGGCTGGCATAAGCAGTGAGAAAAAGTAAGTGATACGCCCATTTCAAATCGCAGTGTGTTTTGACTGCTAAAACAGCCTTAAAGATCGTCAGATTTCCCTTAACCAATATTCATGCAAAGTAAAGTCAATCACATGGCCCCTCTCCGCAGCGGACCTTTATTGGTCGAGGGGTGCTAAGAATCTCCGCGAGGAGGAGCCACCCGAATGTGACAATTAACTATATAGAGAACAAATCCTTCTTAAATTTTGGGACATGAAATGTGAGGAGTTTGTTCGAACAAGGAAAGACGCACAACACGATTCAGGAAATGAACAGATTGAACATAGAAATATTAAGCATAAGCGAAATGCGCTGGTCTGGTCCTGGTAAAACATTGGTCATGGATAAAACGATATACTACTCCGGAAATGACACCAAAAATCATCTATATGGATTTGGAATAATTATCTTCAGGAGAATTCAAGCAGCCGGTGTAAATTTTGTTTCTTTTTCGGATAGAATGCTATTATTACAAATACAGGGTACGCCAGTGAACGTTAATGTAGTAAAAAAACAAGTATATGCTCCAACCGCAGATAAATCAGAAGGTGCAATAGAACATTTTTATAAACAACTTCTACAGTACACAAGAAAGGAAGAAATTACTATAATAATTGGTGGTTTATATGCAGCAACGATAGAAAAAGGACGAGTCGGCAATATATTAGCTAATTATGGTTAAAGAATAAGGAGTGCTAGAGGCGACAGACTGGCTTAATTTTGTCAAGAAGAAAACCTGGCAATTATGAATACATGGTTTCGATTCCCACCATGTAGACTGTATACTTGAAGGTCCCCACAGGATAATGAATAAAATTGCATTAAAAATCAGATTAACTTTATTCTAACCAATCTAAGATTTAGAAATTCCAATAGACTTTTCCTGGAGCAGTTGTCCACTTAGCCATAACCTCCTTGTCTCAAAAATGAAGCTGAGGGTAAAAAAGATAATAAAATCCAACAGTTATAAGGTGAATACTCAGTTACTCAAGATAAATAAAATCCGTGCTAAGGCTTCAACTTGTATTAATCAAGAAATGAAGAAATTAACATAAGAAATAAAAAACACTAAGAATGTAAACATTATGTGGAACGAAATTAAAGATTCTGTTATAAAAACACAGAATAAAAACTCTACAAAAGAAAACAGAAAGCCGAAAACGTTGGTTGACTCAAGAACTACTGGAAATCATGGGACAAAGAGGACAATATAGAAACAAAAAACCAAATAAGTACAGAGAAAAACATAAGTTCACGAGGAAAAAAATAAAAGAGGCTAAGGAAAAGTCGATGATGGAACATTCATCAAAGTGAAAGAATTGCAGAAAAAGCATGATCATTATAATTTACATAAAAAAGTGAAAGAATTATCTAGAAAAGCACGAAAAAAATACACCTAACCGATTAATTGACAAAAACAATAAACCTATTAATAATTCAATTGAGGTAAAACAAGAATGGACTAAATAACTTCTTTATGTTCATTTATGGCAAAAAAAATAAGAATGTTACTACTTACCCTGTCAGATAGCTTCTTGGGCAAAAAAGACTTAAACAAAAGTAAGGCACTATGAAAAACTGTAGGAGCTTTGTAAAAATACAAGGCGTGCATGCGGGAGCTGTGTATTTTCTAAAAAAAAAAAAATACAATAGAAAAGTATTTCTTTTATAAAATTCATTATATCAAATAAAGTAGGTTTTTTTTATTTTTTTTTATTTCATCATTAGGTGATTTTTAAGATAAAATTTGCTAAAAAGTTAATAAAAAATTAGATGACAGTTTCAAAAATATGAGATTATAAGTTAAGTAGCTTTAAAATGCCATTGTTAATATCAGGTATATATATACATATATATATATATATATATATATATATTATATATATATATATATATATATATATTGTCATACTTTTTCTTTTCCAACCAAAGAAAAATAAATAAAAAAATCCATCGAAATAAAATTTCAAGATATCAATATAAACAAATTGTATACATACGATACTACAATAGTAATTTAAGATAAGATTTAGTGTAGATAAAAATAGAAATTTGTTTTTACGAACGACCTTTTTCCGTTTCAAACAAAATTATTAAAAAACCTTTGTTTAGAATTAGAAGACATTTTACCTGTAAGTGAATCTTTTCATTGTTTGTATAGTCGAGTATTAAATGATCATATTTTAATCTTTTGAAATATATATATAAATGATGTATTGAAAAAAAAACCAATTTTAAAGTAAGCTATTTAGTTTTCTCTGAAACCGAAATTAGGCTTTTACAAAATCATGGTAAACACAATTTAAGCTTTTTGATTGGACGGTCGTTTTTAAATGGGAATTTGGTGAGTCGATCATGAGAGAGGAGAAGTTAGTCATATTTTGGTCATTGAAAGAAAACAGTCGTTTGTCTCAAGATAGGGTGTGGTTCGTGAGTTTGGATACCGGCGTAACGAAAAGAAGTGAATAGTTTGAAGAAGGAGGTAACAAGTGGATTAAAAGAGGTCCTTGTATCTACCGTGGGCATTTTATAAAGTATATGTGAAAGTATTCTTACGGCAGCAAGTTGACAAAAGGAGGTCCTGGTGTCATAAATAAGTAGCGGAGTTTGGAGAAGTGAATCAGGTGTTTTTTGTGTAGTCTGAAGGAGGTTTGCAGAGACGTAAAGAAGGAGCCGAGGTGCCAAAGAGGGGAGATCACATATTTGAGGAGACTGGACTTTTCTGGGTATGTTCCAACATACAACTTAAGAAGAAAATAGACTGTAAGTTTTTGTACAATTTAATTTTATATCTGTGAAGGATCGTTTCGACATCATGGTCATTATCATTAAAATTTAAGAACTGAGGTTTTGTTAGGCTAATCAAAAGTTTAAATTTTGTGTTTTTTTTTCAAGTAAAGAAAATTTTAAGTAAAATTGGTTTTTTTACGTAATATAAATGTATGTAGCTTTATAATCTTATTATCATAATAATTTGATTTATTTTCTTGTATGCTGATTGATAAGATAACGACAGAATTTAATAATTGTTTTATTCGTTTATATAAAATAAAGAAACGTAAATCTTTGTAATATAATATATTTGTATTCGTATCCTTTTCTTCTCTATCCCGATAAAAGACAACTAGAAAATCTTTTGAATCCATCGAACACAGGTAATATAAGGATTATTTTACTTTTGATCACAAATAAGTTATAATTCTTTTTTACTGGCTCAGTAAACTAAGTTTGAACTCAAAATAAACAATCATAACAATACATATTATATATATATATATATATATATATATATATATATATATATATATATATATATATATATATATATATTTATCAAATTATTCTTGACCGTACTGTGTTAAATATTATTTGTAGTCTCAGCAATTGGTCTGTATGAAATAAAACTCTATTAAATATAGTATATATATATATATATATATATATATATATATATATATATATATATATATATATATATATACACTACTGCCTAAAACTAACGCACCACCTTAAATGTACCATAAGTTTGAAGCTATTTTTCTGCTGAACGAATAATTGGATTTTGATGGATTTTTTCTTGTATTATAGGTTTATTTCTATAGGAATCCGATTCACTCCCCGCCTCTCGACGCGTTAGTGTTCTGAGCTGTTGGACGTGAATCCCTGTCCTGGCATTTGGTTTTCACCTCTGGCTGCGTTAAGTAGTTGAGTTACTGTGACCAAATGCACATCTTGGTAGTTAGTATTCGCCTCTGGTTGCGTTGAGTAACTGAGTTACCGTTGCTAACTACCCATCTTCCTGTCTTCTTTTTCCTTTTCTTTGTTCTCCTGAAGAAGCTACATACAATTGTAGCGAAATGTCGAGATGAACCCACTTTTGGGTCACTCACAAATGACACGGTCCAAACCCGGAAGACGAATAAACTATAATTCTGACTTATCCTTTCTTAATATATTCGTAAAAAAATTATCATGATATCCCTATTATTAAAAATTGTATAGAATTTTAAATGTAACAAGTTTTTATTAACATTTAAAGCAAAGAAAACATAACCTCAATAATCTTTAACTTTAATTCCCTCTTCCAAAAACACTTAATAACAAGTATTTCCACCTCTACATCAAATTACTTATTCACAACGACGAGGCATACTTGTATTCAATATTGTAATATTGTAATATTGTATATTGTAATCAAGCGGCGTATTTGGTCTTGATCAATTGCATTCCAAACTTCTCTTACCATAACTTCTATGTCGGCAAGAGAGACAGATAGTGGTTGTCGACTACTGATTTGACGATCAATAATATTCCACAAATTTTCTATGGGATTAAGATTAGGGCTGCAGGGTAGCCAGTTCATGGTTTGTATTCTAACTTCGACCAAATATTCACGGACCACACGTGCAACATGTGGTCGAGTGTTATCATGCATTAAAAGAAAATTATTTTCTATATAAGAAGCAAATGAAACTGCATGGTTAGACAAAAGTCTGTAATATACCTTTCACTTGTTAAGGAATCTCTTCCTAAAACAACAAGTTTCGTTCGCGCTGTAGGAGATATTCCTCCCTAAACCATTACAGATCCTCCATTGAATAAAGTAATAGGTCGTATATTGCACTGTGCGTAGCGTTCTTTTGACCGTAGAATATCTCTCACATGTCTATCTGAGCTATATAAGTATTTTCGAAATATTAATAAGACATTTTCTTTTAATAAATTCCACAGGGTATTGCAAAATAAGACGAAAAATACAATTAATACAGTAAATACTTAGAAATAAATCTGCAGTGCGAAAAAAAATCATATAAATTTAATTGTGGATTCAACAGAAAAAGTTGAGGTAGTGCGTTAATTTTGGAAAGTAAAAAACCACGTAATACTTAAAACATACTTTCTTTTTTTGATAATAACGATATTGAGATGATTTTTTTACGAAAATGTGGAGAAAGAACGGGGCAATCTCGAAATATTAATAATATGTAGTGCTTGTTTCTAATACAGTCTACAGGGTGTTACAAAATTTCACAAAATAAAAAATACAACTTTATTTTTACACCACGTGTATAGGTAAAACGTTGACATTTCTCAAAAAAACATTATTATAGTAATTAATTTGGAATGTGCGTATAATGTGAAAAATAAATCATCAAAATCCAATTGAGGATTCAAAAGAAATATTTGTATAGTTCATGGTCACCAAAATCATGGTCTATTTAGGTGGTGCGTTAATTTTGGAGAGTACTATATATGTATTCTATAATTATTATTTTAAGGCTTATTATTAAAAATCTAGAATATAATATACCTCCAAAACAAATCCCACTTTTTTAAACAATATAGGGGTTAGCCGTGAAATAACTGAAAATTTAATACGTTCAAGATCTATTATGTATATTTCTCCCATGGCTAAATCTTCGTGCATCCTAATTTCATGGAAAACTCTGAGAAACATACTAAATATTCCTTTCACATCGTTGTCGGTTGCATCTACGTCGTGATATTGAATTACAGTTAATCGATGTAATGTTGGTGTGAGAGTAGGTATACAGAGAAAAGACCTGTAACATAAAATTAAATTTCTCTTTGTATACAAAATATTTAAATTAAAGTCAACTTAAGAATGCGAAAATGGTATTGCTATAAAAAATAATAGGCTTTATACAGAAAATCAATTAAATGTTCAAAAATATTATTTTTTACATAATATTACATAAGAATACTTTATAGTTTGGTGTATAGATTAGTTGTTTGCTAAGAGATGTGATATTTTAATACATAAAAAAGACAGGAATAACACCAGCTTTCCGAACAAATAACAACCTAGGCAACTATATTAAAAATAACAAGAGCCAAAATAAAAAACAGAAAGGCAATCAGCCGAAACAGCTGTAGTGATAAGATTTAAAATAAATTTTGTGAAAGTTTGAAAACAAAGTTTTCAGTGTTTTATTGTTACATAAAATGAATTTCCATCAAGTAACGGTCGAATCCATCAATTGTTTAATATTTTGTTTATACTGTCTACCACCTATAAAGATATTTGCAGGACGGAAAAACGCAAATAGAATTCTTTATTACCTTAATCGTGAAAAAATTGTTAAAAAAGCGAATTAAAAATAGCGAAAATAAAACAAAATGGCTCGGAAATTGGTAAGAGAGATTAAGGGTAATTATAAAAATCAAGGTATAATTTGAAGGGTGATCCTCAGGTGTTTTCTAACAAAATAAATCAATATTTGGCAAATGCAGCGCCAGAAGCTGTAAAGAAAATAAATCGAGTAAAAATGTTTCAAATTAATATAGACCAAAATAATCATTGCACGTTTTTAACTCCTGTTTCAGAGAAAGAAATAAGTCACACAATAAATCACTTGAAAAACAAGCATAGCTCTGGTTATGATGAAATATCAAGCTACTACATTAAATATGTTTCATCAGAGATTTCCCTTCCTCTTTTTTTATAGTTAATGCTTATTTCAGGCAAGGTTAATTTCCTCAAAGTTTAAAACTGGCAATTGCCAAGCCACTGCATAAAAAAGGTGATGTTACTAAGATGGAGAACTAAAGATGTACTTAAAACTATAGAACTTTTACTACAAACAACTTATTTAGTAGTTCACAGCGTGGTTTTCTCGCAGAGAGATCTGTTAAGACCCAGTGTTTTCAAAGATGAAAACACTGGGTGTTTTTTTGGACCTGTCTAAACTAAGGCTTTTTATAGCCTAAATCATGTTCTTTTATTACAAAAATTACATCTTTGTGGAATACAGGGACCGGTATTAAAATGGATAAAATTATTTCTCTCAGATAGGTCGCAAAGGTCGCAAAAGGTATACCTGGATAAAAGGAGATGTAAGGTTTACTCTAAACCGATCAACTTAAAATTAGGCAAACCACAGGGGAGTGTCTTGCAGCCTTTTCTGTTTTTGGTCTACATAAACGACCTTCCAAATGCGGTGGTTAGTATTTCCTCAAACCTTGTAAATGTGCTTTTCTGAGCAAAACTTTAGAAACACTCCTCACAGTGGCAGAGCAAATTCTAAGCCAGGCTGAACAGTGGTTCAGTCGAAATCGGTTGTTGCTTAACCTTCGGCTGATAACGTTATGTCTCTCGCACCGACTGATTTAAATTTTCGCGGTTTAAGCGCTGCTAATTTTTATTTCAATCTGCACCTCATAGTACCTTTCGAACGTGCTTGTATCTATTCAGTTATAGTTTAGCAAGTGGACAGCGTGTATCGTTTAATAAGAATTTTCAGTATTATACACGATTCGGTCCCACAAACCGACGTTATAGTTGCCGTTACATTTTGAGGTAAGACTAATTTTTTTGATTTTTTGTTTGCGGTATTGATTTATATTATATTTTAGGGCATACGTTTCTAATGAATTACGAGAGGGAACAAGAATGGCTGTTGCGGCTTCATGGGGAAGTTTTAAATGATTCAGAGGCAGAACCAGATGATGATGATGTGAGTTTGATAGACGACCATATTATAGAAACTATTGAGGATATATACTCTGAAGAGGAGTTTGAAAATCAACAAAACTTACCTATTCTTGAAGAAACCGCTTGTACTTCAAGAATACCCTGCCTTATCGGTAAAGATGGAACTACAAGGTGGCGAAAATATCCAGGCATTGTTTTGAAAATTATGGTGCCCAAAATTTGGAATAGTTTCAGTGATCTGTGAAAATTTTGAGAGTAAAATTTTATTTTCTCTGTTTATTAACATACAAGTAACTGATTTATGTTTTAGTGAAACCAGAATTTATTTTTTTTGTTATAATTATTTTGATTTTATTAAAAGACTGTTCATAAAAATGACACTTTTTTTTAATATCTCCTTAAAATTATTAAAATAACAAAAAAATTATAAATTTTATATATTTGTATAGAGAATAATATACACAATTATATTATTACAAATATTTATCACCTACAGCTAAATTTCTATTTTTTTTTAATTTTAGAAAAAGTCGGTTTGTTAGACCGACGTTATCAAAAATTTTAAAATGTTTCACGTTATCTGCGGAAGGTTAATACTGATAAGACATAGTAACAACCATTACAGCGTATGGCATACAGTTAGAAATAGTCCACAATATACGGCTCCGGCTTCTATACACCATGTAGCTTTGTCTATTTTGAAGATTTTAAAGTGTTTTTTTGTCTTTGTGTAGTGTACTGTTATGTTCCTTTTTATATTTATGACATTTTGCTCTTGTCGGATAGGGCAATTAACGAAATGCCCCTGAAGGTGATATAGTGATTGAAAGTACTTGGGCAAGATTAAATTATTAGTGTGCTCGATATTTGCCTTTTACATTATCAAAGTTCATTTATTCGAGCATTCAACCTTATATAAATTACCTATTTGGACTCAAATGATAATTGGAATATAAATAAAGAAATAAGAATATGAATTGAAAAAGCCAGAGCCGCCTTCTATAAATTAAAGAAAATTCTAATTATTAGAGATATTATGTTAAATTTTAAAATCACGTTAATTCGCTGCTACATATTCTCCACATTGCTTTATGGTATGGAGACTTGACTATTTAAAAACTTAAAATTACACATTTATAGGACCATAATATTTGAATTATTATATATTGTTTTAAAAATTACTATAAGTGAATTTTGACTTACACTATATTATGAACACTATCCATATCTGGACTACATGGATTGCAATTTTGGTAAAACTCTGGTAATAATGTTTGTATGGTATAGTACATATCCAAATTTTTCTTTGTTTTCTCAATGCTGAATTTACAATTGGTAAGAAAAAATTCTATCATATTGTCACCTAAAATAAAATAATTTTTACTTTTACCTAATAAGTTACAAGTAAAAAATTTTAAATTAACCCTCAACTGGTATGATGGGTCAATATTGACCCGACCAAATTTAGTTTTATAGCTTAACCAATATTTCAAACGGTGCACGGCACTGGCCAATTATGAATTCTCCTGTTTTGTACGGTACTTTCAGTTGACCTCTGAATATTGTGCGTGTGGGCGACTGTTTTCCAAAAACACAAGAAATCGGGCCAAATTTGATCCAATTTGCCTTTAGTGACACTATTTTTGTTTGATTGTTTTACGTAATGAACCTCCGCAATACACCTTTTAGGCAGCAAGAACTTAAAGAAGGGGCTTTAAACGTTTTTATTAGTGACTATTCGTGTGATAAGAGCGAGTTAAGCGATCATGATATTGTTTTAGTTTAAGAAATCAGAAAAGCAGCAAGCTGGAAATGAAATTGTTTAAGAACAATCCGATACGGTTGAAAAAGGTGAAAAGAAAGAATTAGAGGTAGCAGGGCAGCATGTTTTTTAAAAAGAATAAATACAAGTGGTCAAAAATACCTCCAGTCTGAGGAAAAACTCTAAACGAAAACACAATCAGAACACGCATTCCTGTGGTGATAGGTGATGCATACAGAAATAAACCAGCCCAACCAGTACAATCATGGAATTTCATATTTGGCGATCATATGCTAGATATTATAATAGAACATACAAATAAAAGAATTACTGATTTGACAATGTCTTACGCGGATAGAGCCCTAAACTGTCATTTTACAAACCATGTAAAAAAAGCTGCAATGAAAGCCTTCATTAGTTTCCTTTTCCTGTCTGGTGCTTTTAAATTAAATAATGAAGATTTAAGTCACTATGACACTAAAACGTGTTTGTTTTTTATGCGCTGCTTTACGCTTTGATACTAGTGTCACAAGAAATGAACTAATCCAGAATGGCGATAAACTTGCCGCTATTTCAGAAATATTTAACCTTATAATTGCCAACTGTCAATCAAATCATGCTTGTGGTCAGTTGATGACTGTTGATGAAATGCTGGTGGGGTTTAGGGGAAGATTTCGATATAAAATGTATATGCCGAATAAACCAAATAAACATGGCATAATAATTGACAGATGACAATTTATTATTTCTTTGCGAAAAGAACTCGTTAAAAACCATTTTCAAATTAGGACTTAAATAAGAAATATCCCAATTGACCTATGAGGTATAATAAGGCGTTTTATTGGACTACCTGCAGAACAACCCAGAGAAGATAATTACCATGGTAAAAAAAGAAATCCAAAGAAGTCCAAGACCAAGAATGCACAGCCAATTGTGAACGTTCAATTTTCTACAAGACATTTTTTTTTCTGTATTATTATTTTGTTAAATATTGTCAGACAATTAACTTATTGTAATTATATAAGTCCATATACTCAAACGCTGCTAGATCAAAGAAGGCAAATAAGAAGCGATGGGAATACAGATAGCCACACTCTAAGAGAAATGAATAAAATAAAATAATATCACGTAGAGACGAATTAATACAGGTCGTGGAAGAGTTCTACGAGGAGTTATATGGAAGTAGACGAGAAGATTAAATAGGAATAAAACAGCCATTTCAAAGAAGATCACGAATCAAGGTTCTGAACTAATGCCGGAAATAAATGTAGATGAGATTCGACAAGCATTAAGAAAAATGAAAAATAACAGAACCCCAGGAGAATGGAATTGTAATAGATGCTATCGTAAATGGAGCTATAGATATGCTATTAAATCAATTATTAAGGAAACTGTTTAAACTATATTTGCAGCAAAGAGAGTTACCCAAATAATGGAACAATGCTATAACCATCCTTTTACATAAAAAATGAGATAAAACGGATCAAGAGAATTATAGACTTATTCGCCTGTTGAACCACATATACAAGCTCTTCACTAGGTTAGTGACATCAAGATTGGGGTGAAAATTAGATCAATCTACCAACCGAGAGAGCAGGTAGGATTCCGACGAAATTATGGTACCAATGATCACCTCCATACAGTAAAGACGCTCATTGAAAAATCTATAGAATACAACAAACCTCTTATCCTCACTTTCATATATTTTCATAAAGCGTTCGACACTATCGAAATAGACAGCTTTATGGAAGCACTGAATGACAGCAGGATTGACCATAGGCATAGTGAACTTATTTACAATATTTACAAAAATGCCACTATGACTGTTAAGATACACGATAAAACCCGACCAATAAAAATAAAACGTGGGATAAGGCAAGAAGCTACATTGTCACCGAAATTATCCATAACGGCATTAGAGTATGCCTTTAAGATAGACAATTAGGAACACAGAGGACTATCAATAGACGGCGAAAAACTTAACCATCTTCACTTAACCATCATTATCACAGATGAGTAAGGAGAAGCAAGAGATATGTTAAATAAATTGGACTTTGCATGTTCAAAGGTGGGCGGGCCTCAGAATACACTTGTCCAAAACTAAGTTTATAACAAATATCGTCCCAATAACTATTTAACTAATCAAAACAAACTGGTAGAACTGGTGGAGAAATATTCGTATTTGGGCCACGAAATAAGAATTAAGAGAGATAACCAAATATGCGAAATCCAAAGACGATTTACTTCAGCGTGGGCAGCCTTTGGATAACTGCGAGACACACTTAGGGCCGACATCCCAATTAGCCTCAAAAGAAAAGTATTTCACGAATGCGTATTACCGGTCATGACCTATGGGGCGGCAACTATGAATCTAACGAAGAGTACGGCTTCGAAATTGAGAGTGGTACAGAGACTAATGGAACGATGTGAATGATCTACGCTCAGATTGATGTTGCGGGACCGAATAAGAAACGAAGATCTGTCAAGAATGACGAGTATTACTGATGTTGTGGAACACATAGCGGAACTTAAATGGAATTGGGCAGGCCATGTAGCAAGAATACATGACTTACGATGGACGAGTAAAATTACACATTGGAGGCCAAGAGCAGACAAACATAGTAGAGGAAGACCACCTACACGTTGGTCTGACGACATCAGGCGTATCACGAAAAACTGGCGACAAAGGAACAAAATTGCAAAGAATGGAGGAGCTTAAGGGACGCCTATGTCCAGCAGTGGACATGATAAATAAAGGCTGGATGATGATGATGATGAGGATAATGAATTATATTACATATTGTAAATATATTGAAAGGTTAAATAAAAAAAATATATTATTATTATTTTAAATTGTTGAATAACTATTTTACTTACTTGGTACTTCTGGAAGGTGTTTCTGTGTTTTTAACCATTCTCTTATAATAAGAATATCCTTTATTACGTCACTTTCTGTTTTTCCCCATTCTTTTCTAATTAATTCACGATCGACCTGAAGAAGTTTTTTGGTGTCCATTTAGAAAACCAACACACAAAATAATAAAAAATAAAAAAAGACAGATAAATACGTTGTAACTGAATTGTAGTCTACTACTTTTGCAGTGTATTTATAATTTCAATTATAAATACTGCATGCCCAAATAATGTTATTACCTGTATCCGTTCTCACCTTTGAGTTTGCCTAATAAAATACACAAAAACACACAAAAAAGTATGAGAATAGTAATATTGGCGTTTATGTCTCTTTTAACTATTATTTAACAGCTTTTTACATGTTTATAAACTCTTTATTAAGCTAATAAAAGATGCTTAAATGACACGTGCTGTTTTCTACTAAAAATGCATATAATCATTTTATTTAACTAGAAATAAGCCACAATTAAAGCTAAAAATACGTTTATTGACGTTTCAATTTTCACTTCGGAAATCGTTCTCAAAATACAAACAGTAAATTAAACAAATTTTGTTTTTTGTTACATAGTGAAAAATTCTTCCAATAATTTCATTTTATCTGACTCATTTATATTAACAATTCAGACATACATTATGCCTTTTAAAGTAGACGACTTTAAAATGATATTGCCAATATTGTTGAGTTGCGCTCCTAGGACGACTTTACTTATAAGATAGTTCATTAGATTACATGAAATCAACCTTAACTTGAGAATATCCATCAGAAAAAAATCATAGCATGTAATTCGTCTTTAGAAAGACAAACACATGACATGATGACAGCAAAATTCTCCTGTTAGTGATTCCATAGTAAATTATGAGGGAAAAACCAGCAAAAAACCTCATAATAATATCCCGACATGGTAAGTATTTGTTCGTGCATTTAGTTTACCTTCAATAAACACCAAAATTCTGATTCTATATGTTTCGTTATTTAAAAATCCTCTTTATTTAAAATTATGTTACTGACTTACTAATACTGGCACTTTCTTATTAATAACTTCCTCGTTCAACATTGGTAACTAGATCCTACTACATTCTGCCGAGGAATTTGCGACACAATTGGCCTCATTTAGCATAATTAGAGCCGCTTCTTTGATTTTTCTTTTTTTACCATTATCCCATTAGTTCATTATCCCATGCGTGTTTACATATTTGAGATCTATCAAATTCTCTATTTTTAATATAAGATTGATGTTCACTCATTCTAACATTAAATTGCCTTGATGTTTTACCTAAATAAAACTGATCGCATTCACAAGGTATTATATAAATGCAATTCTTTGTTCTTTCGTGTTCATGTTAGGTTTGGTTTTGGACAAAATAGATCTCAACGTGTTTATTGTTTTGAATGTTGTTGAAATGTTGAATTTATTTCCTATCCTTTTCAGTTTTTCTGATAATCCTTTTATGTACGGTATTGTTATTTTCCTCATGGGATAATGAACATAGGGTTCAATGGAATAATTCAAATGTAGTCCTAAAAGAAACATATGGTAAAAAAAATCAAAGAAGCGGCTCTAATTATGCTAAATGAGGCCAATTGTGTAGCAAACTCCTCGGCAGAATGTAGTAGGATCTGGTTACCAATATTGAAAGTAGTAAGTCAGTAACATATAGAGGATACATCATTTAATATGTCTTTTAAATAACGAAACATATAAAATCAGAATTTTGGTGTTTATTGAAGGTAAGCTATATGCACGAACAAATACTTACCATGTCGGGATAGTATTATAAGGTTTTTTTCCTGGTTTTTCCCTCATAATTTACTATGGAATCACTAACAGGAGAATTTTACTGTCATCATGTCATGTGTTTGTCTTTTTAAAGACGAATTACATGCTATGATTTTTTTCTGACGGATATTACCAAGATAAAGTTGATTTTATGTAATTGAATAAACTATCTTATAAGTAAAGTCGTCCCAGGAGCGCAACTCAACAATATTGGCAATCATTTTAAAGTCGTCTACTTTAAAATGCATAATGTATGTCTGAATTGTCAGTATAAATAAGTTAAACAAAATTTGTTTAATTTACTGTTTGTATTTTGAGAACGATTTCCGAAGTGGAAATTGAAACGTCAATAAACGCATTTTTATCTTTAAATTTGTGGCTTATTGCTAGTTAAATAGTAATCATTTTATGATTACTTTGGATATGCTTTACTTATAGAGAATTTCTTTCCTAAATTGTCATAAAATGTTTTCACATATGCCATTTCGTTACTTATAAAGTAAAAGATCTGTAAAAGTTGTTCGATACATGGTCTTGACAATTTTCTATTTGTTACCTTAACCAAATTATTAGCTTATGCAAATTATAATCAAAGGATAAATAATACAAATTAGGAAAAATCACTAAGTACAGACGAACTGCCCTTAAATTTAATGAAACGTGTAAGTTTATTGATACTGCTTCACATGTACTCTACTACAAAATAAGCACGACCTGTGTTCATAATGAGAGAGCATGGGTAGAACCATGGGGACCTGTGACATATTATTGGGATCGACTATATTTAAGTCTAGTGTTCAAAGGAGTAGTGATGCGCAATATAATGTGTTGCTTCCTGATAACACCTCTAGCCACTCCTAAGGGCTAACTCCTAAAGATTGGGTAACACCAGTTCCAGTGGAAAGTAGGGTCAGGACCGACGAGGAAGAAAGAAATGGTCCTCAAAAAAGTGGGTTAGGCATAGGGCTAACGACCCTATACTAGAGAACACACATGTTAGAAATACTCAAGGAAAGAGAATCACGATACATGATATAAAAATCGCGACATGGAACATCCGATCCCTATACATATCGGGAGCCCTTTAAAATCTGCTCGGTGAACTGAATAGATATGACATATATATAACAGCTCTGCAGGAATTAGACAAAAGACACCACATTATATTCTATAGTTGCGACGCTAAACACGCACTAGGTACTGGCTTCATTGTAAATCAAAAGGTTAAACAACTTATAGGAGACTTTCGTGCTATGAACTCTGAAATGTGCATCCTGAGACTAAACGGAACATTTTTTCATTATAGCATCTTAAATGGGCATGCTCCTACAAAGGAAAAGGAAGACGATGTCAAAGAAAAATTCTATAAAGAACCAGAAGCTTCATACAATTCATTCCCAAAGAATGACATCAAAATTATTTATGGTGATCTTAACGCAAAAATAGGGGAAGAGCAACAATTCCTTCCAACTGTAGGTAAGCACAGCCTTCATGAGGTATTCAATGACAATGACATCAGACTAATAAATCTAGTAACTTCTCTTAACATGGTCATTGCCAGCAAATGCTTCCAACGAAAAAATATTCATAAAGGAACATGGAGATCTCTAGATGGGGTTAGAGTAAATATGATCGATCATGTTATTAGTGACTGTAGATATCATTTAGGCGTAATAAACGTATGCATCAGACGAGGGACAAATGCAGACTCGAATTACTGCCTAGTGTAGTAATTCGAGTAGAGTAGAATAAGAGCCAGAATCTCAAACATTAAAAAAGAAAAGGGATCCAAAATTGAAAAATATATAAAAAAAACAGCAAAAAGGCAAAATACAAAGAATATATAAAAGGAAGGCTAGAAAACAGACACAAGCATGAGAATATAAACAGATAATGGAAGGCGTGTGAAAACATCATACATTACGCGGCCAAAGAGACCCTGGGTATATAAAAAAGCTCAAATCAACTAAAGGACGTTGTTGTGGTTCGATGAAGAGTGTCGTAACATAAAAGAGAGAAAAAATAATGCATAATAACGACTACAACAACGAAACAAAACATGGTAAGGAGGGAAGAGAAGAAAATTTATCGCAGAAAGAAAAGAGAACACATAGAAAAAAAACTCCAAGAATTGAAAGAACTAAATAAACAATCAAAAACCAGAAAAGTCTACCGAAAACTTAACAAAAGGAATAAATAATTTAAACCAAGAGCAATGATGTGTATAGACAAAAAAGGAGATATAGTAAACAGAGTGAAATACCGCAAAGACGGACAGAATTCTTCAAAGAAAAGTTAAAAAAAACCAAGATCCAATATATAATGGAATTATACTAGATCAAACAGATACAAGAGACCCCCTCTTCCCCTTTAGTAGCTGAAATGCAAGAAGCAGTTACTAGACTGAAAAACAACAAGTAACTGAGAATTAATAAAATAAGGCGGAGACTCTCTATTGAATGATATACACGAACTAATAGTGAACATATGGAATAATAAACAACTGCCAGTAGACTGCAATACTGAAGTAATTATCCCACTACGTAAAAAAGGGAGATCAGCTTCCGGGCAATAACGCTTCTAACTGTGGCATATAATATACTTATATAAAATACTGTCATATATTGTGTATGACCCATTGAGATCATATGCGGAAAAAATAGTTGGGGGATATCAATGTGGTTTCTGCAGGCAAAAGTCCACAATAGACCAGATCTTCGTCTTGATGCCAATCTTGAAAAAGATTCGTGAATTTAATGTATCTTTTCATTGATTTTGAGAGTGCCTATGATAGCATCCATTAAGAATTTATAATCCATGCACTGAAAGAGTTTAAAACTTCAACTTAAGTCATTATTATAGTAAAAGAAACTCTTAAAGTACAAAGCAAAATTCGAATTCAAAACGCACTAGCAGATACAATCCATGTGAGAACCGGCCTATGACATGGAGATGCCCTATCCAGTATTCTATTCAATATCACATTAGAGAAAATAATTATTAAACATTGAGTCAAAAGTCAACACCAGAGGAATATAATAGCAATAAGTGTACAAATATTGACATTTGCAGATAATGTTGATATCATGGCTAAAAGCGAAAGACAGATGACAGAAGCATTTAATGCGATAGAAAGAGCGGCACAAAACAGTGACTCAAACATTAACGAAATAAAAACCAAATAAATGAAGGCCAGCAAATCGACAGGCCAAAGAAACCTACAG